CTGCAGAATTTAAGGGGACGGGGTGGGTATCCTGGGACGGAGCATGCCCGGTGCTGATTTCCCTTGGAACGTGTGTTCTCAGTGGGCCCATGGGGCAGCAGTCCGTTCTAGAAGCATCAGAACACAGAGTACAGAGAGAAGACAAGGACTGGTTAACTGCTGTGCTAACCGCTAAGTGCCAACTCCTGAAGGAGGCTGCTGAGCCTTAATCAGCCTCTTGCTGGGGCTCAGAACAAAGGACTCCCTGAGGGACCAGTAATGGGAGGTGCACATCTTATCTTTCCAGAGTCTCAGGCCTCCAGGCAAACCACCAGCCTCCTAGCCCAGGGACAAGGTTACCCTCAGCTCTACAGCAGGGCTCCAAGACCACCTGGGTTACTAACCCTGTGGCCCCATTTATTCAACTACCTCACCCACTCGGCTCCCCTGGTGCCCTGTACAGAGGACAAGCAGCCCAGTACAGGCCTTGCCTCCACAGCAGCTGCTCTCTCCTGCCAGGAATGTGCCCTTCTGCCTTTTAAGTGACTCACCTGGAATCTTCCAAAGGGCCACCAGTTCCACTGTCTCAACTTCACAAACCAGGAGAGAGACCCCAAGATGGTGGACCTGCCCAGCGCCGTGCAGCTCAGACAGGACATTGTGATTTGAGCCCATGTTTCTGGGCTCCTCTAAAGCCCTTCTGGACCAAGATCATTCCTGAATATTTTTAGTAAGGATCACTCCATCCCCAGCCCATGTGGGGAGAATTTTCTCATCACTTCCTTCTGCCCCCTTCACAGGTTGTTTGCCAGAGACTTGAACATACTCCATAGAAAGCCAAACCCACAGAAGACAGTTCAGAGGGGTGAATCCCACAGCACCTTACTACCCATAATGCTTTGCAAGTGGCTGGCTCGGCACCCCGTGACTACCTGATTCCTACACCCACTTCCCCTGCACAACCCTGGCAAGACATGGCAAACTCCTTAACACTAAGTAAACCAGAGATGAGTACACATAGCAGTCACTGAGCCACTGGCAAGGACTACTTAGGTGGGGGCGGGTAAACTCAACTCATCGCATGTGGTCAGTACTTAAAAGTGATAGTTAACTGGATATGGAGGTACATACTTGTAACCCCAAATCCAGGAGGCTAAGGCAAGGTGTTCTTGAGTTCAAGGCCAACCTAGGCTACAAAACGAGACCTTGTTCCCCCAATTTTTTTTTTTTTTTTTTGTAAAAAAAGAGTGACAGCTGTCAGTTGTTCCTTGTCAGAATGTTTATCCGAGAAGGTACGTGGACTGGGTTGGGGTGGCACAATGCACAGATGTGTGTGGGATTCCCGGTGTACACCTCCAACAGGGGGCCGGGGCTGTGCCTCTCGACTCTGTCCGTCCACCCCATACATCTGAAGGACGAGCCGGGCAACCCTGAAGGAAGCAGGCCTGTCACAGACCTCACCCGGGCCCAGGCCAGGCACGCAGGGTGTGATGGCTGACCCTGGTGGTCGACTTGGCACACCTTGGAAGAGGGACCTCAGCTGAGGAATTTCCTCCATCGGACTGGCCTGTGGGCATGTCTGCGGGGCATTTTCTTGGTTGCTGGTTGATGCAGGTGGGCCCAGTCCACTGTGGGCAGTGCCATCCTAGGCAAGTGGGTCTTCGCTGTGTAAGGAAGCTACTTAAATGTGAGCAAGGCCAACGAGCCAGCAAGCAGCTCTCTCTGCTGCTCCATGGTCTGTTCCTGCCCTGACTTCCCTCAGCCATAGACTGTAACCTGTGAGATGAAATAAACCTCTCTTCCCCCAAGTTGTTTTTGGTCAGTGTTTTATCACATCAGCAGAGAGCAAACCGGGACACACGGTCTGCCATGGTGGAGTACGGAGGGGCATGGGGGTAGGGAGACACTTCACCCAGAAAAGCCCCAAGATATGAAGAAGATACAATTTTAAGGATTGGGAAATAACAAAATAAAATACAATGAAAACTCCAAATATTCTTTGGAATGCGGTAGATGGTATGTTTCCATGGCAACCTGAGGCTGAATTATTCAGCAAGAGAGTAGAAGGCCCCAGAGGAGGCGGCACACAGACAGAGGGCCAATTAAACGTCAGGGAGTCGCCAAAGACCATCCCTGACCTCCGGGGAGACTCAGCCTCCTGTTCTCTGCATCTAATTCTGGCACAGTTTTCCATTTTCAGACACGCTGACAAGCATCCAGGGAACCACGGCATCCCAGACTAGGCTCTAAAATTAGTTCCAGGTTCTGTGAGCGGGGAGTTCCAGTCCTAGAGCTGCATTTTTGGTTCTTTGCGCACTGAACCTGGAAGCATCACCATTCTAGCTCCACTCTCAGCAGCTAAGCTGCTCAGGTGCCTGCAGCTCCGCCCTCTGCAAAGCCCCCCCTCATCCTGCAGCCCCGCCCTCTGCAGGTGCCTGCAGCTCCGCCCTCCCAGCTCTGATCCTGGAAATCCCAGCCTTTGGCATTCACAACCAGGCTCTGGTTCCTGCCTCCTCTCACCCCCCACCCAATCTGGTCAGGTTCAAGGCATCCTCGAACCCCCTCTGTCATCTCTCACTTCCTTCCATTACCAACTCACTCGTTCACTTTGAAAGAACCTGGTTCAATTATCAAACAGAAAAGCATCTTTTCAGCAACACAGAAGTCAGATGCAAATAACAGATGAGGGACCACATCTTCCCAGGTTCCTCTGGGAAGGACTCTGAAGCCCAGCCCACAGCTGCAGACTCTTTCCCATGCATGGACTGCTAATTTTACAATAAACTTTGACACACTCAGCTACGTTCAGTCACTTGTACATCATCTGGGTCTCCTTTGAACATACATACATGGCCTAATGTGTATCCAGACAGTGCTGGCCACAGGGCTCGAGGTACGGGCAGACCTCTCCGTGCTCTGCATTGAAGTGCGCACTCTGGCTCTTTGTAGAAATGTCTGCTGAGGGGCTCAGAAGGTGGCCCGGCTGGTAAAGTGCTTTTGAGCAGTCAGGAAGACCCAAGTTCAGATACCCAGCATCCACATACAAAAAAAAAAGACAAAGGGCTGGAGAGATGGCTCAGCAGTCGAGAGCACTGGCTGATCTTGCAGAAGACCTGGGTTCGGGTCCCAGCACCCACATGGCAGCTAACAACCATCCATAACTCCAGTTCCTGGGGACCCAACATCCTCTTCTGACCTATGTGGTCATGCACGACACAGGCACACTTACATAAAACACTCAAACACATAAAAATTTTTTAAAAAGGCTGTATCTTGATGTGACCTCAGTGGGAGGAGCCTCCAGGAGAACCTTGTCCCTCAGCTCCATGGTCCAGGAGACAGACATCATCTTCTCCAGTCTCTAAAAAACTTTCTGCAAAGGCTGGGCGTGGTGGTGCACACCTTTAGTTCTAGTACTCGGGAGACAGAGGCAGAGGCAGGCAGATCTCTGTAAGTTCAAGGCCACCCTGGTCTACACAGTGAGTTCCAGGCCAACTGAGGCTACAGGGAGACCCTGTCTCAAAAAGACAAAAACAAACAAACAAATGAATAGAAAAAATAAAACTTTCTGCAAAGAACCAGGTAACAGATATTTCCATGCAGATCACAGGGTAATGAATAACAGTAGATCACGGATGGGGTAGTGAATACTTTTAGCTCTGTGGCACAAGAGACAAGAGGCCCAGATCAGGCAGCCTGCTCCTAAGATCACTATAGAACCTCCAGGCCAGACTCAAGTAATAGCAGGCGAACATCTGTCTGTACTTGGAGCCAGAGAACTGAGAAGTTGGGCCTCACACCATCCCAGGACCCATTACGAAGACAGAAGGAACCCCGAGGAGGCAGAGGCCATGAGGTCAACAGGTCCTGTGGTTTCAGGAGGAAAACAACACATCCTCTTTGAACAGAACTGGGTTGTGCATAGTAATGGGGTGTCTGAAAGCTCAGTGACACAATTCCCCTCCAGGAGGGACCCCAGAAATCACAAAGCACAATATTATAAATCATGCCAGCCCAGACATCCTCACTTCAGCCGGGCTGATAAGCGCCACTGAGCCCCTTCACCTGTTACAGAATTCATGGACCTACACGGCATCCCACTCCTGACAGGCTGTAGGTCTGAGGACTACAGCAACTTTCAAAAGCTCCTTCCCTGATCTGAAAGTCTCTGTTGCCATAAGCACTTTGACCATGCTCAACACCTGACCCCAGGCATCAGGCAGGGCAGGTGCAGAAGAGAAGCTTGACAGACTTGGCCCCCAGGTGTCCTGGGTCAGAACAGGGCCCTTAATATCCACAGGTCCTACTACCTGGTGGGGCTAACTAGAAACACCATCTTCAGTGAAACTCACACTGGCCTTGAACATGACAGTTCCCATTCCATAGATAAGAACATCATGATTAGAGTAAGTTGGATACTGTCCAGCTTCTAGAAGCATCAGCATGACAGCACAGCGCTGGGATGCAAGCCCAGGTCTATGTGACTCCAAAACCCAGCACACATTAGTCCTGGGGATGCCAAGATGGGCCTCGTCTAAGTGTAGCGTCTCTTGAAAAACTCAGATAATCTAGTAATTCTGGAGTCACATTCCTACAGGGGAATAGCTAGAATAAGGTACTACAGACTATCCCCAGCCACATCGCAGCAAAGTGATGTCCTTAGTGGTTTGGTCTGGTCCCTCCCGTCTGTGACCCCTCCCCTCACTTCTTCATCATCTCCCTTGACTCCTGCAGACCAGTGCTTCCCCACCCCACAGGACATTGTGGTGATTCCTGGAGAGAGTTCCAGTTGTCCTGGGCAGTGTAACAGGCACAGGCCAGAGATGCTGCAGAGTCTCGAGCACACAGGGCAGCCCTGACAGAGAACCACGTGCCTCAGTGCCAATGCAAAGGGCCTGCATTCATCCATAAGTCCCGCCCAGCACTGGAGGGAGGGGGGTCTCAGAGCCCAGGACCCGGCACTGGAGGGAGGGGGGTCTCAGAGCCCAGGACCAGCCACACTCTTGTACACAGTCACTCACTTGGATAGCTTCATCTCTATCTGCTGCCGAATCTCCTGTCTCTCCTCATCCGTCCTCCTGGGGAAGATGTTCCTGTCCTCCAGCTCCTGCTTGCTCGGCCTGTTCTGCAGCTTCACCGCCAGCAGCTCCTTCTTGCATTTCCTAGGCAGTGTTCCTACAAGACCCATCAGGGAGAGAAACAGGTCTTAGACTGCTGGCTTGTCATCAGTATATGGATGGAGGCTGGTGTCTGGACCAGGGGGCCAGGAGCCGGGACAGGAAGGGCCATGTGTGCTGCTTTGTGCTGCCTTGCAGGACATCAGTGGGTAGCCCAGGGGCATGATGCTGCATGGCGCGTCACTATGTCCCACTCAGGGGCACTTGTTCTACAGGAGGACCATACTCCCAGCCTCCAGGAAGTAGACACCCGTTGTCTTCCAGTGTTGTTAGCAGCCCACACTGACTTTCAAAAGCATTTGAGCTTGGGCTATAAACCAGTAGGAGACTGGAGAGAAGAATCAATGGTTAAGAGCACTGGTTGCTCTTACAGAGGACCAGGGCTCAGTTCCCAGCACTCACATGATGGCTAACAACTGTCCTTAACTCCAAATCCCTCTTCTGGTCTCTGTGGGGCCCCTGCACACAAGTGGTGCACACACAGGAAAACACTCATGAAATAAAAATAAATATTTAAAAAATTATACAGTAGGGGCTGGAGAGATGGCTTAGCGGTTAAGAACACTGGCTGCTCTTGCAGAGAACCCAGGTTTGATTCCTAGCACCCACATGGTGGCTAGCATTTGTCCATAACTCCAGTTCTAGGGGATCCAACACCCTCTTCTGACTTCCATGGGCATTGCATGACATGGGTACATTTATACACATGCAGGCAATATACTCATAAACATAAAATTAAAATAACAAAATGTATTTTTTTTTAATTATAATTTTTCCTACAGTGACTGTGACTCTAACCTCAGAAAGCACTGGCTAGTCACTCCAGTGCCTTCCATGTTCTAACCACATATGCTTTTTTTTAAAATTTTCATTTATTATTTTTATTTTATGTGTATGTGCGTATTGCCTGCATGTAGGTAAGTGCACCCGTGTTGAGCAATGCCTGTGATACGAATTCTTTTAGTGCCTCTGGCATCCCACCCCGGAGGCACTACACGGCTCTCCTCTGCCTCCTCCCTGCTCGGCCAGCACCTCCTATAGCTGACCTCTGCCTGGACAGCAGGGCACGGTTGGATAGCAGCCTCCGTGAGGATCCCAACACCCTGTCATACTTCCTCCCTTAACCGATGACTCCTGTTAAATGCTTCACCTTCTGTCTCCCCCACTGGACTTTGGTTCAACGACAGGCACTCTCCGCAGAGAGGCATGTGGACACGGAGGCCATCAGTGACACTGCGAGTGAACGAACAGCCAGACTTGGGCTTGGTCTGCTGGGCTGGGCTGCATCTTGGCATTTTTCCCAAATCAGCAGAGGGTAACTGGGGCCCAGGAAGAGTAGAGGGGGCAAAGTGAACGAACAGCCAGACTTGGTCTTGGTCTGCTGGGCTGGGCTGCATCTTGGCATTTTCCCAAATCAGCAGAGGGTAACTGGGGCCCAGGAAGAGTAGAGGGGGCAGAATGAATTTAGTTGAGGTCAGAAATGGCGCTAGCTTGTGTCACAGGCTGGGACGAAGGACAGTTCGCCAATTCATTAGTGTGCTAGGAAAAACTGGTGTTCTGTTTAACTAAGCATCTGGATAACAGAGTCCCTACATGCTCCTGGCTGTACACATGCTCCAAAGCTGAATACGTGAGGCCGCTGAGCTGCAGCTGTGGACGGGGAAGCTTTGCTGTTCCACTAGAACAGGGACTCAAATCTGGGTCCCAAGCCACCATCCAAAGCCATCACTTCTGCAAACAGAAGCCAAATGAAATGGCTCCCAGGGTTGGGGAGCTGGCTACGTAGGTAAAATTCTTGCTATGCACACGTGAAGACCTGAGTTTGGATCCCTAGAACCTACATATAAAAGCTGGATGTGATAACACATCTGTTATCCCAGAGCTGGGAAGAGGAGACAGGAGGATCCCTGGGGTTGGCTGGACAGCCAGCCAGGCCAAATTGGAGAGCTGCGGGTCCAGGGAGAGACTGTCCCTAAAATCAAGGTGGAGATAAACACTCTATAATGACCTCTGGCCTCCAGAGGCAAGCATGCCTGCACATGCCTGCACATGCACGCACACACGCACATGCTCCCAAGACAAAGTCAACTTCCACTCTGTGGTAGAAATAACAAAATCAGTGCAACAACATGATCCTTCAAGAGAAATTTGGAAGATAAGATACAAAAATGGAACCCTGCTGAGGTTTGAATTTCTAATAGGAAGCTGTTTGTCATGTGCCTTAGAGAGAAAGAAAAATGTGACTGCAAGTCATTCTGCGAGGACTCCAGCTCAAGTTGGCTTTAATAGCTCCGTTAATGGCTGCACCCTGGATTAATGGGCCCATGGAGTCTGAGGAGATCATACATTTTCAGTTGGTTTTTCTGCATGTTATGAGGGTGTTGAAAGCTATGGTAACATTCACAAATTTGAGAAGTTTCAAAGCTCTAGGGAGGAATCCTTTGTGAATGTCAGGGCTGGTGAACAGCAAGAGAAAAGTGGCCATTTCCAGAGCACTGGAACATGCGTACCCACACAAGTACACCCCGTTGAATCCTCAAAGCTGGGGTAAGGCAAGTCCTGAAGCCACTGGGAATGCCTCAGGCTGTTGCTACAAACTTAAGTCAGATTTGTTCTTAACTGAAAAAGAGACCCTGTCATTGGATGCTTCTAGGTAGGAATGGAAAATTTCCCTGCATGAGATCTCTGTGACTAACAAGCAGTTCTCGTACAACAGCAAGGGCTCACAGGAGGGCCACAGCAGGGGCTCGGGGGGGACCACAGCAAGAATTCTGGGTTGTCTTCATCAAGAGCTAACCTGGAGGTTACCAGGTTTTGCTGCTTAATATCCAAACAAAAACAAAAGGAATGTCCCAGAAATACTTTACAATGAAGACTTTTCAAGGTCTTGAGTGAGCCTCACCCAACTGATTGAGCTCATCATAATGATGGTGCATTCCCAGAGAAGCCTGTCTAACACAGAGGAGGATGTGAAGCCTGGGAATCAGACCAAGACTTCCTTTCCCCAAAGCTCCAAGGAATGAGACTGTCTATCCCCAGAGCACTGGGACATGCTTACTTCTTCCTGTGCTACAAAGTCCACTTCTAGGAGTCAGCCTTTCAAAACAAGTGACAGCGGGCAGTTGGGCACTTTTATTTCATGAACACCTCTGCATTTCATGCTGTAGAAAAGACACTGTTGAGAGCTTCTTTGCTCTAACCCAGACTGTTCCTCAGGAGGAATGCGAGGCTCGACAGCCTTGGGGTTGTGCAAACCCCACTGCACAGGGACATAGACAATAACAAGGAGAACGTGTGACTTTCAGAGACAAGCCTGATCACCTGACCAGAGGGACAAGGACTAAACTCCGGACAACTGACAACCTTTGATCCCATTCCCTATAAAGTTTTCTAGCTGAAGAGGGAAAGACAGATTTCTGGGGTATCAATACTTTACCTTCTCTTCCGAATAAAGCTGAACGGAAAGGTTCTGCTCCTCCCTTTGCTCATGGATGTTTGTGGCAACAGAGAGCAGGAACTCTGTCTGGTTTTCCAGTTACACAAGAACACAACAACAGGAGCCCCCCTCCCGCCAGCCCTATCTGTGAAAGCACAAAACTGAATGCACTCTGGACATCCAGTGAGGCAGGTAGCAAGTGGTTGTGGCAGGGCACCTGTTAAATTGTGGCACATCTTCCCATCTGTGAACCTATTCAAAATGGCAGAGCTTATGTTCCTGAGTGACAAAAAAACTCATGCTATCACCAAGAAAAAAAGAAGTCACATTATATAGGAAGATATGTGTATGGGTCTAATTTTGTGAATGTCATAATTGTAATTACTGAGATGGAAAGGTGGGGAGGATTTTCCTCATTAATTTTGGCTTTCTGTATTTGGGGAATTTTGGTATAAATTTAGCTCCCTGATATAAACTAAATAATTGCTTGAAAAGAATTTTTTGAGCGTATCAGTGAAAGTGCCAAAAATTCCCTTCTACATAAAAGCAACAAGAAGATTGCTTTCACGAAACTCCCAGAGTTGACTTTTTCAAAATCCAAGGAATTACCCTAACAATTTCATAACATAGGGACATTTACTCAAGAAACACAGGCTGAGTGTCAGGAAGAACAGCACGTGATGCTGCCTCCTTCCCTCCAGGACCAGAGTGGCCCAGACAGTGGCTGACAGCTGCCCCCAGGGCCCGTCCTGGCCTTCCACACTGCATGCAGTATATACACCACCCATGTGGATCTTGGGCCGCTCCTCCAGCACCAGTCTCCTCAGCCACTGTGACCTACCACGGGAAGAAGGGAGGGTGACGGACAATCTTGGCGACTGGGAACCTCAGCTCACAGAGGCACAGATATCTCTCCTTCCCATCTCTTCTTCCAGGCCACTCTGTCAACCTGGGTCCTCCCTGCTTGGTCACACGCCTGTTTCCTTTGCTGGTGCCCACCCCACACCTGTTCATGCAGGTCTCTCAGAACTCATACCCTCCCCTATCTATCCACTCAGTTTCTCTGTGACTCCTCGGCCACAGGATGCTAAGCAACAGTGGCTGCTGATCAGATGATTCCCTCCCCACCTCCAGTGCTGAGCAATCAGTGTTTATTCCCACACCTGTACCTGTGCCCCGGTATCTAACAGCTGTCTCCACCTTGGCACAGAAGTGAGCTCCTGGCATCCTGCTGGAGCACAGAAGTGGCAAACCAAGAGAGAAACTGAGCAGAGGGAAACTGAGGCCTGTCCTACCATCCATACTCCTTGGTCTGACGCCCAGGAGTCACACAGGTGCATCTGCCTTCCATGCATCTACCCCACGCCCGGCACCTAGGGACAACAAGAGGGAGCATACCTCACTGACAGCATAGTCAGGGGTGGGAAAGAGATGGGGCAGGAGCAGCGGCAGTGGGCAGTGGGCTGAGCGGTGTGCGTCCTCCCGGCAGAGCTGTCTGTGTGCTCCCTCCCTAACGCTCGTCTGAAACAAGTTGACTGGATGGAAAGGAAATGGATCGGGGG